AGTTGAATGACGTCATGAAGGTCATCCAGTTTTCCAGGAAATGTGTTGGTGTATTTTTCTATGTACTGTTGTAAGTGTCTCATTTCCGGTACAATGTAGCCAGCAACAAGAGCATTATGTAAAAAGGTGTTAGGGATATTTTACTTTAGAATTGGCCAAATATATGTGTATATATAAAACTATACTTAAGTGTTTAAGTAAAATAAAGGTGACACCTGGAGACTGATTGAAAAATATATGTTATGCTAATCAATTTATAAAAAAAAAACAGGTATGGAAAATTATCTCAAATAAATAGTAAGTTTTAGGAAAGTTAGGGTTCACACTACATGAAAGAAATAAGGAAAGAATAAAAATTATTTTTCTAACAGAGATGAAACCAATGATTGGAGATCACTGATTCCAGGATCTAGATTAATTCCAAAAGGTTGAACAGTGTTTAATCCAATAAGCTTCTTTTATTCCTCTATCTGCTTTAGTTTTGAATCCTGTTTCAATACCAATGAGAGTAACATTGTTAATGGAATAACCTGATTGGTTTAAGTGTTGAGCAACAGGGAGATCTTTTTCAGTGTTAATACAAGATTTATGGTTGTTGAAACATTCTCTAAGAGTTGTTTGTGTTTGTCCTACATATTGGTGATTTCATTTTTTTTACACTGTATAAGGTAAATGTGTTTTGTGTTCCACAAGTGATTTCTCTGAATATTTTAAAGTTTCTTTGGTTGTTCTTGTCAGAAAATGAGTCAATAGATTTTATGAACTTGCAGGTTTGACAACGAGCTTTATTGCATGGATTACAACCATTTTTTGATGGGATATAATTCACTTTTGTGTGAACAAGGATATCTTTTAGAATTCTGCTTTTTCAGAAGGAGACAACGGGAACTTCAGGAAATATCTGTTTAAGGCGATTGTTCAGTTGTAGGAGATGAAAATGTTTTTTCAGAATTTGTGAAACATTTCTGAGTTTAAACTGATATGTAATAATAAGAGAAATTCTATTTGAAACTTTAGTATTGCTCTGTTTTAGGATGTTTTTCCACTGAGTGTTATTGGCCTTTTCAGTCTGTCACTTTCAGTATCTTTATGTCCTCTCTGTAACATGGTAGATCCTTGGTGTGTTTTCTGTAGTCTGTATCATCTGAGCAAATTTTCTTTATTCTAAGGGCTTGACTGTAGGTCATGTTCGTTTAGTGTGAGCTGGGTGACAGGTTTTTTGTGAAGGTATTATAGTTTATCTGTAGGTTTTTTTTACAAGTCGGTGTGTAAAATTCCATCCTTTAAAAAGACAGTGACATCAAGAAAGTTAATCTGGGTACGCAAGTAGTCAAAGGTAAACTTGATTGTTTTGTGAAAGGAGTTTGCATATGAGATAAATTCTTTAAGTGGTTCGAAATCAGCTGTCCAAATGAAAAGTATGTCATTTATGTAACGTTCCATGTATGAGGTTTTACAGGGCTTAGTTGTAAAAGCTGGTTTTCAGTATGACTTATAAAAATGTTGGCATAATTGGGAGCCATTTTGGTACCCACTGCCATATGTTAACCTGAAGGTATTGTTCGTTATTGAATTTGAAGTTGTTCAGAGTTAAAACCAGGCTGGCAAGAT